GGGGCAGGGGTTGGAGCTGGAGGAGCTTTAAGGTCCCTTCATCCCAAACCACTCTGGGGTTCAACGCAACGACCCCACGGAGCCACTGAGTTTTCCAATGTTTTATTGGTGGTTTGGGATTACAGTTTATTGCTGATCTAATACAATCACTCAGACATGAATAATTAAAACATCCTTTGCACATATTACGCTGGCGAAGGTCTCGTCTCGCTGATGACAGGTTTGGTCTCACTGTTTCCCATGTTCAGAACCATTTCCTTAAACAATTTTTGCTGGTGTTGCCTAAATCTCCTTTTTTTTTTATTCCTAATTCTTTAAAAATGTGTTACATTAAGAAAAAACCCCTCCCCAACCCAACCCTTGACACGTTTAATTTAGAGATGATCATGGAATCCAATTCCAGATTGATCAGGATAAGCCAAGCAAGCCCAACAGCTTACAGAAGCAGCAGGACATGGAGAAGAGTGTTCGAAATCGAGGTGGGAAAAGCCAGTTGGGAGCTTTTTGTTCTTCTGATGATTTCCTTTTCCTCCTATCAGCCACCTGGAAGATAAACTGGGATTAAGAATGGGCACGAAGGACTTCACGGATGGGTCAGCACCAGCGAATGCTGCACAAGCGACGGGCACGGGGCAGGTCAAGCGGCTGCATGAGTGGTTCCGAAGGGTCGTGTGGCTGCAGAGGGATGTTCCCGGGGGCAGGAGCAGCTGTGGTTGGGATGAGTCCCTTTTCCAAGGGCTGCTTTGCTCCAGAGGACCCCACGACTATGTTTTACCTCGACCAGGAGCAGGATTTCAGGTGTGGAGAACAGGAGGAACCCTGGGTTCAGTGGCTGGTGCAGACCGAGGTCACCCAGTGGCGTCTCCAATAGCTCCAGGGACTCATCCCAAAAACCTCAGGATCCGGGTGAAACTCACAAGTGAGGAGAGATTATTTCAGGTTTGTGGCTTGTGACTGATGGTGAAGTCTTCTCAAAGCCCTAAGGTCTCCTGGAAGCCCAAAGGTTTCCTCAAAGCCTTCTTGAAGCTCTAAGGTTTCCCGAAAGCCTTAAGGTCTTCTCAAAGTCTTCTCAAGGTCTTACTTTCTCAAAGCCTTTCAGGTGTCCTGAAAGCCTTAAGGTGTCCTCAAAGACTTCTGAAAGCCCTAAGGTCTTCTAAAGGTCTCCTCAAGGTCTTGCTTCCAGGCTTTGGGAAATTTCAAAGAGAAACTTGGAAGAAGTGACCAGAGGAGAACGTTTGCTCTGCAGGTGAGCAGCTTCCAGCCAAGCTGATTTCAGGCCTCAACATCAAGAGCCGTGAGGACTCGGCTCCCAAGACTGTAATTCCACAGTTTTTCCTTTCTTGTGCGTGAATAAGCTGCCACTAAAGAGTTTTTCCATGATGGCAAAGTCCATGAGGACAAAACAAGAACCTGCAGCTGACGAGGGACTCGGGTACCACAGCAGCAACCACAGGATAAAGGCTTTTGCACTCACAGGGGTTGGGTGATTCTATTTTAGAAGGACCATGTTCTCCATGTGAACCATTAAAGTGTCTCTGATGAGACAGAGAGACTTCGAAAGTCACCTTGGGAAGCATCCCAGTGGGACATCCTGGGCTAAACCAGGTAACTGTGGCAGATCTGTTCTCCACCGGCTCAGATGCATCAGGAGTTGAGTCAGCTGGAGGTCCCTTCCCCATGCAGAAGATCAGGGTGGTATTACTGTGGTGTTCATCTCATACATTCAAAGGGGGGGTCCAAATTTTATCCTACAAATATGACTGGAAAATAAAACTCTGAAGATTCCCACTGAGGGCTTGAAATTCAGCTGGAGAAAGACCTCACATGGACACGGGTCCTCCCAGCGCGATGGCCGATGAGCTCTGCTTGGGTTGGGAAGAGCTCCCGACACGTGAGCAGCATTTGTTGGTGAGGATCCAGGGCTCTTCCACCAGCGCCCCGTAGCCCCACCGGGATCATGACTTTGGTTGAACCATGGGAGGTTGGCACTGGTAATGTGAGCAGCAGGAAAACACTGTGGAGCTGGGATGAAGGGAGCAGTGGTGGGTCCTACCCCCCCGCACCGAGCGGGCACCACTCCTGTCCTCCCAGCTCCTGCTGTGGGCTGACACTAACAACCAGACCCTTCACTACAGCTCTCAGCAGCGCTAAGGCGAAGTTCATCCACTCGCTGGTGGAACCATCCCTTGGGAAGTTCAGCAGAACTATGAGAGGTTCCTCCAGCGGGGTGGCACCCGGCGGGTCGGCAGCGCTTGGAGCAAGCACGGATTTAGCTGTGTTGGCATGAGAAACACAAACCCAGCCCCTCTCCATCCAGCTCTCGTGGCTGGTGGGATCCCGGAAGAAGCATTGGGATGTGAAGGAACCCAAAAGCAACACCCTCCAAGCGGGCTCCCACGGCTCCCGTTGTGCGCGTCGGATGAAGGGTGCGTATGGGCTGTTCCAAGTCCATCGCAGCCACCCCACTGCAACAGCCTCTTCCTCACCTCCCTCCTCATCCTCCAGCCCCACAAAGAAGAACAACCCAAAGAGGAAAACGAAAGAAATGGAAAGGAATCCAGCGTCTCCCTCGGTGCCGCAGCAGAGCGAGCACCGGTGGCAGAGCCCCATGGAGAGTGTTCTAGTCAATAAATAAATAACCTAAACACACTGTCTACTACGAGAGCAAGCCCGGCTCTAGCTTAGGGAGCTTGAGCTGTTTCATCCTGTACAGTAGTTGAGAAAAGACTTGGGGTCTTGTTCCTCACAATTCTCCGGGATACAGCAGCAGGAGCTTAGTATCTGGGGAAGAGAAGAGAAAAGGAGGTTTTGGGGAGCTGCTGGGGAAGAGACACGGAGCTGCCCCTGCATTGGCATGGTGAGTTCTGGGGGGAGAGACACCAAGGAGAGAAATGATTTAGAAAAGGACTTGGTCCTTATTTCCCACCCCAAAAACACCATGTTATAGGGACAGGCTGAGAGAGCTGGGCTGGGGCAGCTGGAGAAGAGAAGGCTCCTCAAGGGGACACCTTAGAGCAGCTCCAGTGCCTAAAGGGGCTCCAGGAAACCTGGAGAGGGGCTTTGGATAAGGGATGGAGGGACAGG